CACAGCTGCAAGCTGGCAACGGATTCGCGCTTCACCACTACAATCGCGCAATTCGGGAGTTGAAGGCAATGGAGAATGAACCTTTAGTGCTCTTAGTATGCGTGCTTTTTGTTTGCATCGAGTTCCTGCTGGGAAACAGAGAATCAGCAATTGAACATTGCAAGCACGGCATATTTATCCTGGAGACTGTCGAGGATTCTTATGCATGGACGAAAGAGTACCTCTCCCCTATCTTCCGCCGCCTATCAGTTTTTCCTTTCTTCTTTGGAACCAACAGTACGCATTTTCCCAAACTGCTTGGCTTAGACAACAAGATTCCCGCGTCGTTCCAATCATTGGAGAAGGCACAGTACTATGTGGATGGGATTGTGACTAGAACTGTCCGGTTAGTACGGCAAGGAGATACCTACCGCTTTGGAGCGCAACAGCATAACCCTATATCTCCCGAGCTTCTGTCAGAACAACATGACATCAGAGCCATGCTAGATGACTGGCACGTCAGTTTCTCAGGACTTGAAGTTGGACAATGCATATCCAAGAAGCGAGATGCATCGCTTTGTAACATAGTGATGAGGTATGAGGTCGCCCGAGTCTGGGTGGAGACACCTTTTGCATATCATGAGACTGCCTACGACATGTTCATTCCGAAGTTCCGTTGGATGGTCGACAGGGCTGCTAAGCTGTGTTCGTCAATGACCTCTGAAACAGATGATTCACAGGTTGCCTCAAGTTTCATATTCGAAATGGGGTTCACGCCTCTTCTCTACTTCATCACAATGAAATGCCGCTGCCTCCCTACTCGGGTCCAGGCGCTTTCATTGATGAAGAAACTCGGGGTATCCAGGGAAAATCTATGGAATGTATCTACGATGTATGCAGCAGGACGTCGCATCGTCGAAATCGAGCATGGTGTTCTACTGGATGAGTCAGGCCAGCCTTCTGGCCCAGTTGCTTGGCCTGGTCTGCCTCCTGACGAGATGAGAGTACGGGATTCTACGACAGATCCGAGGTCGACGAAACGGGTAGATTTATATGGCCGGGTGTTTTTTGAGAGAGCAGCTGGCTTTTACAGGCGCAATCTTGAAGGCGACATCTATCTTCAGCCTGAATATCTCATCGAAATGACCTGATAGTATATTTAATAGTAGCTAGAGGAACTGATTGAATGACCTTAATAGACCGCAACGTGCACTGTGGTAAATGCAACAAGCATGAACGAATGATGACTGCGACATGTGCTGAAGATGGTGACATTGTGGCTGTTACTTCTTTCCGTCAAAGGAATTGTTATAGAATGCGCCGCAGTAGTGTCATGAGCCCTGTCGCGTTTCGACTGCGCCAGAGCTAGGAGGTAGTATAATTAGATATTTAAAGTTGTTAGGAGGTTTACTAGTCGTATTTGCTTAATTAGCTACCTTCTAGGGGTAGTCCTGAGAATGACCCCGGTAAAATATTTTGGTTGTGATTGGTCAGTTCGGACTATGTATTCCTTCGGTAGTAGGCTCCCAATGACTTGGTAGTCTCAACCGTAGGGCAGTGCTTGAAGCCGAGTCTGGAGATATCTATCAGTTTAGATTGAAAAGGAGTTCAAATCCAGAGCTTCAAGTTGAAAATGACATTAACTATCAATATCGACACCGGCTTAAGCTTCAATCCCATTCTAGTATCCATCGCTTTGCATACTCCCCGTCTATCTTCATCCTCAGCTCAGTCTATCCATGGCCACACCAACTTTGGCATTGGCTACGGCCAGCGTGACTAAGGTTTTCCGAGACGTGGTGGAACAAACGACGGCAACAATAACAAATGCTCCGGCATCTACTTTTTTAACGACACATCACATAACCATAGGTGGCATTACCAACGATCATGTCACAGTACCAGGAAAGACTATCGATATAGCTATACCAACTTGTATTCAGACCATACAGCCAGATCCGAATGGATATCTACCTCCGGGGACTTGTCACGCTATTTGGAACTACTACCCCAGTTTCTCAGCTGCCTTGGCCTTTACAATTCTCTTCGGACTCCTAACATGCGCTCACATATACCAGGCAGTGGCCTACAGGAAGGTAACCGAGGTACTGCTTCTCATCTCTAAAAACGTGCGCTGATGGTACGTTACAGAAATTTTGCTGGGTCATTGTCATGGCGAGTTTCTGGGAGACCATCGCCTACGTTTTCCGCACCGCCAGTACTCGTTATCAACAGAACACTGGTGTTTATCTCGTTTTTCAGGTCTTCATCCTGCTCTCACCCCTTTGTAAGTACTACTGCCTTTTGCACGTTCGTACTAGCTAATAGGTGTCTATCTACAGGGGTCAACGCTTTCGCCTACATGGTCCTTGCTCGAATGATTCACTTCTTTCTTCCGTCGCACAAGGTTTACAACATACCCGCGCCTGTTTTAGCTGCTGGCTTTGTTACCCTTGACTTCGTGGCTTTCGTGGTCCAACTCGTCGGGGGCAGCCTAGCCGGTCCCATGGCGCCAGCAGACGAGAAGTTAAGAGCTATTCATATCTATATGGGCGGCATTGGCTTGCAACAGTGCTTCATCGTCGTGTTCGTTGCCTTTGCAGCTAGGTTCCACCTAGAAATGCGCAACTCTGTGCATATAAGCCCACGTACAAGCTTGAAATCCGGCTGGCTTCCCTTATTATTGACGCTATACGCATCTTTGATATTCATCACTGTAAGTGTTGGCCAGTCATAATTGGTGCTCGTTGCTAAGACGATTGCCCAGATCCGTATCATATTCAGGCTTGTCGAATTCTCATCTGGATCAACCGGCGTATCAAACCCCTTAGTCACTAACGAGACATACTTCTACGTCCTCGAAGGCACGCCGATGCTGTTAGCAATTCTTGCTTTCAACTTAATACATCCAGGATCAGTGCTTGTTGGCCCAGAATCAGAGATGCAGGGATTTTTCAAAACCTGTTTGGGCTTATTCCGCAAGAAGAAGCAATTTAGAAAACTTGACGAATCATCAGACACTGAAGAGATGTCCTCCTTGCATGTATAACTGCCGAGTATGTGGATTATATCTATGAGGGAGATGACAAAGCTATATCGATATCAAATGTGGTAACGAATAAACACGACATAGGTCAGAGTACGGCGCTTAGGCATGGTGTGCATAGTCAGCGGATAATATTTTAGTTTATAGCTTCCGTTTCATCGGTAGTTAGTTAAACTGTATTGGTATTACGCTCAAGAGGTAGTCAGTAATGTGCCCTCCGGCCCGGGCCGAGGCCCCTGTCAGCGGAGTTACCCCAACCGCGGCCCCGGGATAAACTCATACTGTGTGACCAATGATCTCATATAAGACAACGCCGGGCGGTCCGGATTATTCTACCAGTGTACAATGCATGTGTGTATCCCCAGATTCTTCGGGATTTTTACTATCTTGACGTAGGCCTGTGTATTTCCACCACATAACCTGTTACGAACCGGGACCAGGCCTTGAAATCGATATCCTCAAGATATAAACACGAACCCCAAGTTGCGAATATGTCACCCACCCAGAAGACTACTCCTGGCGTATCAGATGGGGACAAGAAACCACTGCCTGTGCCATCTCCGCAGCTCTCTACGGACCTTCCTAGCACCACTACGTACCTAACTGGTCACAACGATGCGGGGACGGCGGTTGTACACTCGGTGCGGCCAGCTCAATGGACCGCGTTTGAAGGCGGAGTGAGTATGTAGCTTCTGAATTCCTTAAACAGTCCTCTTATCATTTTGTCAAATCCATACATTACGGACCAGTTCAGGGCAGCTGGTTCCCTCAAGCTCGTATGAGGCGGGGACGTAAACCACAGATTCGAACTTACCCGAGGTCCTTCGGGGTACTACACCAAAATGACTAACCATATATATCATAGTGGGATTTAACCAAATCTACACGAACCCTTCTCCACCAGACTTGAACAATGATGCCGACGTGAAATTCCACGATAATATAATCTCTGGTGGTAAGCTTGGGCTTGCCACGAAGGGCGGCAGCGTTTGTCGGATGGTGGACTTCGGACCGCGGTACGAATGTATGATGCACAGGACCCAATCACTCGACTTCGGCATTGTTGTGGAGGGCGAGCTCGACATGCTGCTCGATGACGGCAGTGTCACGCGCATGAAGCGTGGGGATATAGCTGTCCAGAGAGCTACTATGCACGCCTGGCGCAACCCGAGCACCACCTCGTGGGCGCGTATGGTGTTTGTGTTGCAGGATACAAAACCGTTGTTCATCGGTGGAAAGAGGTTTGGTGAGGACTATGGGAAAGGTACCGAGGGGTTACCACCAAGTGGCAATGATGACTAAGCTTGTCAGCTTGCCGAGAGGTCATAGTTTATAACGAGTTCTATACGTTGAAAAATGAATATGAGTTTGAAATAATGGTTCAGCTGATACAATATCATCTCTGATATAGGCCCGCCGGCATGAAACGCAACTTGTGTCCCTGTAGCCAAATATATGATAGTTTGATTATATTGAGAAGTTTCATTCCTTACACTGTATTATTGATATTTTTAAATGACAACATATAGTGTAATCTAACAAGCTTAAAATGAAATGAAATAAAGCAAAAGGGGGGGCCCTTTTTCCCTCTTCAATATGTTTGGTATATTTAATATTTTCTACACCTAACACATGTCTATAAATCTTTGATAGGATATAGAGTTTTGTTTTCATTAGACAATAGGGTTAAGTATATTTATTGATGTCCTAGGTAGTCCCAGCAACTCTTATAAAGTTTAATCAGTATTTCAAATATGTTCTATGCTGAAATTCTTGGTTGAAGTGTCGATGGATAGCCAGTTATACCGTCAGATCATATAAGTATTTACAGGATACCTAATATCCTTGTGTGAAGTGGTGGCTGAGTGGTGCTGGCTGGGCCCCTTCGGTCACAGTTGACAACACCATTACCCATCATGTGTTTAGCATCTGATAGAAATGTCAAAAATGACACCTTGCGCCAAAAAAAGAATGCTGATGATAGAGGGATTCGAACCCCCATCTTTGCGGAGTTGGAACGATGTTTCCCACAACGCAATGTCCTAAACCTCTGGACGATATCACCTTCTTGCATTCACTATCTGGTAGTGCTTGTGAATTATTCTTGCAATTTTGTTTATTGTCCATTATGGGAAGCTACGTAGGTTGTCTGTACCTTGGGAACCCGTGACCTGATATCGCACGGACCTGAAAATTCCTATATTTCCTTCCCATCCCTTATTGTTGGTTCTTCGTTAGTTCCTCCTGCAATAACTGTGTTGATTTTCTTTCTCATACCCTCGCCTCGTGACACCAATACCGAGAAGATAATGCAGGTCAGTGTCTAAACCCCTACGACCATTAGACTGTACCAGCTTTTCTTCCTTCATCAGTCGGTGTCGGTGTCTTTTTCATTGCAGAGAGCTCATGAGAAGTTTGTCTTGAGCTTCTATTCCACCTCATCCAGGGACCCTCTACTAGCATACGGCGACGGAAGGTCGGTTAAATCCGCGCCGAAAGCCGCCTTCTCCTGCTTCTAACAGGTCCAGAAAGCCTCAAATGGTTCCATGGTCATGGACAGATGCCAAAAAGGGGCTCCTCGATCGATGGCTCCCCACGTCCAATGACCATCGCATGCCAAGCATCTGTCGTCCATAAATTGGTTTAATGCTTTGATATGAGGAGGTATGACGGGCGAGCCAGAGTGGTCGAATATCACAACCGTCCCGATATTGTCGGGCGACCACAGCTTATGGACTAAATGTCTTGCATCCGTATTTCGGAGAGCCCCGCCATTAATCTCCTCCTGTAGCCAGTCTAACCGAGGAGAATATTGGCGATAACACCACCGAAGTTTCAGCTTCGCTGACACGGCGCAATTGCCTTGGTCGATGTGATCTGATACTTGCTCCGGAAGGTATTGGGAGATCTTGACCTCCTCCATGTGCGAATGAAGCCCAAGAGTCTCAAGATAATTACGAGCAGAGTCACAGTAGATTATGAGACCGGGTAAAGTTGGAAGGGTGTAGCGTTCGGGGTTGATGACGCATGGGTTGAGAGGATAATGTTGGTAGAAATCAACGGCATGGCGGAAGTCTCGAGAATCAACGTCGTCCACAGTAAGGCCACGAGTGCCAAGTGCATTCTGTGCTCTGCCAACGATTATGTGATTCCCGAACCAAGTTCTCATCTGACCAGGCTTCCCAAGGGAGAGGATGCTCTTATTGATGGGCACGTTCTGAATGAGGGCTTCATTCAACCCGATCATTACCAGTCCATGGCCGATGTTTTTATGTCCTGCCTGCTCAAGCATGTCGTTCATATCATTGACCATGTTAGAGTATCGAGCACTAGACAAACACGGGAGTTAGCGAACTTCCCCTTTCCGGATAATTTTAGGAGGTATGGGGAACCTCAACCCCATGTACCTCAAATAGGTTGCTCATCAATTCTATTGAGTTGTAAGGAGTAAACTTTTCCCATGAGACTTACTGGGGTCCAAGTAAACGGTCGATGACAGGAAAGAAATAGGAGTTCTCCTCAAATTGTTCCACCCAGACGTACTTCGGCTTTGACTCTTCAGCGGGGAACATGATCCCTCGGACATGGTTGGGAGTTGGTCGGTTCTTGTTCTTGAATTCCACAAGAGTATCACAGAGTAGTTTGTGAACCGGCCAGTCCTTTGCTTGACACCCTCGAGAACAGTATCGGGCGGTTCGACATTGGCCGCAGATGTTCTTGCCAGGTTCATCACAATAAGTACAGCGACTGCGAATCTCCTTATCATTCGGGGCAGGCTTCTCTGCCAATTCATAGACAAAGGCGTAGGTCTCCTTCAATGCTTTCTGTCTAGCCGAAGCAGCTTCAGCCGCAGCCTGAGAAAGTGACATAATTACGCTTGTCGAAAGGTACGATGACGCGACCGAGGAGTGAACTGAAAACGATGAGCCTGGCTGTTGATTTCAATGTACGTATAGAATAGAAGTGTCGTACATTTGAGCAGAGCAGGGTGTTGTGGTAGAAGTTCAAGGAAGCTTCATTTACAAGTTGAAGATGCAGGGCGTGACGAGATGGTAAACACGAGATGAGTTCGGCGTTCAAGGGTGAGGGCGTGCATTCTTAAATCATGAGAACAATGGGAAGTTTAGGCGAGAAGAGTGAATGGTAGGCGACATGGGGCACAATACCTACACAACTGTTTGCTGTGGCAAGAACGAACACATTAAACGATGAGATGCCAATGAACCGTCCCAAGGCTATCACGTGGCAGTTTTATTCCTGCCCTTGACCTTTACCATAGTGCAATATATTAATAATACGAAACCACGACTCCAAATACCAAAATGGTCTACCTAGCTAGAGGGAACTGTTCGACTATCTTATACCTCATATATACCTACTAATGTGTTACACTTTGAGGAATATACTGTATTCAAGGTTAATGTAACCGTTGCACTCTTTCTTTACGATACCTACAAGAAGCTTGATTGTTATACAAGGAATATAGACTTTAGATGTTGATATGGGTAGGTAATTTGACGATTTCCCACAAACAGTTAATAAGCTTAATTCACAAGTCGTAATCAATAGATAAAATGTAATCTTCCCCTAGATCTAGATATAGTGTCTTGCGGTATATTATCATATAGCGTTTAACACATGTAGCTTCTCACATCATATGATCAGTGGTGATACATGCTAGGTATTTTCTTAGAAGATGAAAGAGCCAGAAGACAAACAGCAATAGACACACTAGGTAACCATGCAAGATGCAGAGTGAGAATAATCAGTTAGACTATGTTACCTTCAAGTTTATACATATGTATAACAAGTCCATTTGCCAAACACAGGAGATGATGTGACTTTATTCAGGTAGTGATCCGAGTGTTTCTGGAGAAGGTAGTTTAAGGTTAGATTTATGTAAGAACTGTTGACATAACGTATTTTCCATGTCAATGACTTCGCACAAAATGCCCTAACAGCCAGAATTCTTTCTATTAAACTCCCTAATCATGAGTAACCACTCGAGAAACCCATATGAAGTTGCTGTAGAAGGCGTCAAGAATGTGCCAATACTCGGTAAAGCAATATCGTTGAGACTGATATACTTGTAATTAAGCGAGCAACTCCGTTATCTCCGGGAACCTACATACTGATGTCGATTTCTAGGGGCTGGTCTCATCCCTCCGACTTCTAGTCATATGCACATTAATTCACATCAATAGCTACGTTACTTACATAAGATATGTAAGATCCATGCAACGTCGGATCTCAGCCTTTAATACATGTGCATAAAAGATACAAATACACACATCGCACGCAAATGATGGCTTGCAAGAACAACTCTCTCCGGCAACTGCTGGCGCCGGCTTCTCGAATTGGGACCCTGAACGCAGGTGCAGCCTCTGGAAAACATCGTGCTTTCCAAGTAAGGAAATGGCTCCATGCGACGAAGTCGCGTCGTACCGACGGAGTATTCCGTGGCCTCACAGATACCCGGCTGCCGATGCCGTGGATCGAGGCATTCAAGCTTCAGCAGGAGGGCAAGAACACGGCTTCGGAAGAGGCCCTGTCGCAAGAGCGCGACCTCACCCCGAAGAAGATGAGCGACAGCTATCACCGGGTTGTGCTGCCCCTTGGCCGTGATCCCTGGCTCAGTGATACATATATCAACTCTTCTGGTCATATAAGGTCTACTTTATACTCCTCGGCTCATACACTCTGTTTCTGACCCCATATGGTGTAGGTTAGGCACGGTATTCATGGATTTGGATGCCTTATCGGGTATCGTGGTCTATAAACACACTGGACCCGGCGTAACGGTGGTGACTGCGGCGTTGGACCGCATCACCATCTCCCATCCGTTGACAGAAATATGTGACCTGGAATACAGTGGGCAGGTGACGTACGCATCGGGGAGGAGTAGTGTCGAAATTACCTGCAAGGTCGCTAGAGCTAGAGACGAAGGCGAACCTAGCAAGCCTGAGGACGGTAAGTAGCACCGCTTTTCCTTCTGTTGGCAACATTACTGTACTGTGGCATATCTGGAGGTTGAAGGCTCCCAAAACATATCCAGGATCTTCGCAACTTCAAACCAGACTGACTCAAAAGAGAACGTACTGATGATACAATAGTTTTACTGACATGCACTTTTACTATGGTGGCTCTTGATCCGATGACGAAGAAACCCGTTAGTACGTATTCACAAGTTCTCCCTTCCTATTCCAGGCTATATTGAGAACCATGTCTACCTATATAAGACGGCTCTAGAGCCTTCGCAGCTGAGATGGGACATGTGACTCCCGAGCTCACTAGAAAGGGGTATTCATTAACATCGATTCGCGTACAGATATACCACCCCTAATCCGCTCAACCCCCGAAGAAGAGAAAATCTTCAAGGCCGGGGAAGCCAAAGCTCTTTCCAAAAAAGAAAAGCTCAAGACCTCTCTCCTGGAGACCGAGCCCAACGACGCGGAATCAGCACTAATCCACAAGATCTGGCTGCGGCAGATCGCGTACCACGATCCCACCAACCCCCTCCGACAACCCCGCCACGTGCTGGCGATGTCGCGGACGGCACTCTCGACGGCCGCGATCATGCAGCCGCAGTACCGCAACCGCCACCAGACGATGATCTTCGGCGGCTTCCACCTGAAGCAGACGTTCGAGCTGGCGTTCTGCTGCGCCGCGAGCGCCGCGCACGCGCGCCCCACCTTCATCTCCGCCGACCCGTGCACCTTCCGCAACCCCGTCCCCGTCGGCTCCGTGCTGTACCTGACGGCGACGGTCGTGTACACGGATCCTCCCATGCTTAACGACGGGGACGGGGAGGAGGGGGAGCCGCGACAGAGGGACGAGCAGAACCCGGTGACTCGCCTGCACGTGCGCGTCGACTCCAAGGTGAGAGATGTCGAGCACGGCGTCGCGAAGCCGACGGGCCAGTTCAACTACACGTTCGCGGTGCCGCGCGACGTGCGCGTGCTGCCGCACTCGTACGAGGAGTACATGATGTACATCGACGCGCGCCGGCGGGTGCAGCTCGGCGACGTGCAGGACCGCCGGGACCACGTCAATGTGGACGTGGAC